CGTCCAATCGCTACCAAAGTCCCCACGTTAAACAAGGAGGGTCTTCCCTCCGCTTCTGTTATAATTTTGATTCATTAGTTTGTAATAACAAGGAGGGTCTTCCCTCCGCTTCTGTTATAATTTTGATTCATTAGTTTGTAATAAGCTATTCTTATCAATACAAACGAATCTGTTATAATTTTGATTCATTAGTTTGTAATAAGCTATTCTTATCAATACAAACGAAACCCCCATTTCGAGAAATCAAAATTTATGCCTACAAAAGATGGCAATCACAGTGGGAGAAACTATTTCCTTAACCGAAATGGTGGTAGCACAGTTTGACAAGGTTGCTGTCGGGATGACCGTAGAGTTCATAGAAATCGAGTTCGACCAAGCCAAGTACGAAGAGTACTTGTCTTCCTCCTCCTCTGGTGGTAATGCATTCCACAAACGTCACAGAGTTGTGCATAGAGGCCGACCTTAAATGGTCAAAGCCTCCACGCCTGAGGACTCTATCCGAGTCACGCTAGAGGAGCCTATTCCCCCCGAATTGATCGAGGCCAAGCCAGAGGTCAAGAGCACAGGGCAAAAGGCTGCCAGATAGGTCGCCAAATGACCCTCGCAGACCCCTACTCAGGAAGAGATAGTGGTTCATCTTGGCACAAACCACGCCATCACGCTCCGCAAGGACGCTCCTCACTCTAGAAGAGCCCGCCAGCGGCGAAGACAGGTCCTCGCCCAACAGGAGGCCTGAACCTTCGCCTCATACGACAGCCTGAATTATTATTCGGGTCTGAAAAGTGCAAGACGGAGGAGCAGCCTTCCCAACGCTGGTGGGCTCACTAAATCAGGCGAACCCTCGCGTTCAGGCCGGCTTCACTCTGACTGTAATATCCCCCGTTTTAGTGGGTCTGGTATTTCTGACAAACTAGGCCACTCAGGCGAACCAATCCAAACGGGCAAGCCTGCCCACTCAAGTGGATTTCGTTTCTCGGGTCACATCCCTGATGCAAACGGACTGCCCAGAGCAGGCGAGCCTACCCGAGCAGGTGAGCCCTCGAAGTCAGGCGAGCCTCACCGAGTCCACTTGATGGGTAAGCGTTGCGAGCGAACGCCTTAACGATAAAGGCAGAGCAGTAGGCGGTACCTCACAAACTCGCCTACATGAATAAAGGGTTGAAGTTCGCCCGTAGGCAAGAACTCACCTGAGTGTGAAGACTCGCCGGTTAAGGTGAACTCGCCTAACTCTAAAACCTAACCATTCCACCCAGTGCACGCAGGAGAGCCTATCCAAACCTCTCTCGTGCGATCGCTCGGCTGACCCCTCTGATGCTGGGGGTTGTCGCCAACCACCTGTGGAAGATCTCTGGGGTTACCTAACTCGCAAACACATCATACATGAGGTGAATCCTCAATGTCACTACGAAAGGCTTATCCAAACAGTACTCGCCGACTGCCAGTGTGTAGGAACAGCGAAACATTCAGTGTTCGAAAGGCTCACTCAACGCCCTTCCCAACCGAGATCTTCTCGTCGAAGGCGTAGCCACCAAAGAAGGCGCACCGTCGATGATTTAAAACCCCCGTCCGCTACTGTTAACATGACGGGGAAGGGTAAAAATGTACTTCTAGATCCTCCAGACTTGGACTCCTTCCTGGGGTCCAGTCATCTGCTGGTTCAACATGAGCATGACGATATATTCCTGCACACCCACAGTAGTACGGAAGTAAACATCCCGCTCAACTACGCTCTCCTAGCACCCCCTTCCGGGGGTGAAGAGGAAGTTTGCTCAGCGACGGCCACATCCCAGACATCACACTTGAGTCACGGCGATTCAACAAGGGTGCACATGGCTGAAACCTCGAGTGATCAGACGATCGCTCAAAAGTTTGAAGAACATCAGGTCGCCATCGAGTCCATAAGAGACATGTTGGAGCAACTTCTAAACAAAAAAAAGAAAAAGAAAGTCATGCGTACCCCACGGAGGCCGGCGGGAGGCAAGGAATGGGAACCTACTCCTAATCAGACGACTGAATAGGAGGATAATATTGAACTCCTGTCGTATCACTCCTCGAAGTCGTCGGTGGGAACATCGTGCTCTGGGGGTACCAGCCGGAACAAGAGATTCGACGAGTTCCAAAGCCAACTCAATGCTTTAAAGCTCCAACAAAACATGAACAAACTGGGGGTGGTCAAGCCATACCCTATTGAGTGGGACACGGTCCCCTACCCAGCAAAATTCAAACCCATCAGTTTGGTACAATTTGATGGTAAAGGCTCCCCTTCACAGCACATCTACTACTTTATGGCTCAGACGGGATTTCTCACCGGGAATGACGCCATCACCCGGCTATTCATCGGCACCCTCAAAGGTGTAGCCTTCGAATGGTTCCGCAAGTTAGAATCAGGCTCTATCAAGTCATGGGCCGATACAGAAAGACTCTTCCTAGCCCGCTTCTTCGATGATGATACCGAGGTGTCAATGGCCACCCTCCTGGCCGAGAAGCAAAAGAATTCAGTGTCGGTCAATGACTTTGTAAAGAGGTTCAGGAACTAATCAGTTTATTGCCGAGACCAAGTCTCTAAAGCGATGCTGATTGAGATGTGCTGCAACAACCTTTCAATCCATATTCTGTCCAAGGTTGGCGCGGTAGAAACCCGAACCTAGAAAGAACTTGTTCGTCAGGACGAACAGGTCAAGAATATGATCAAGAGGCTCGAGTCCGAGGAGCCTCACCCCACAAAGGGAGCCGCAGAACCAAGCACGCCAAAGAATCTCCCTCGAGCTAGAGGAAAAGAGATCATGGCCATTAACGTTGACTCCACTCCGGCGCCCAAACTAGCCCAAAGGCCGAAACCTAGGCCGTTTGAACAACGTCCTCCGAGGCAATACGACTTCAGGGAAGACCAGGTGGTGACAACTCTCGACACGCTCCTCAAGAGCAACAGGATTAAGCTGCCGGAAGTAATCAAGCCTGAGGAGGCGAACAAAACCAATGAACCGGGCTATTGCGTGTACCATAGGTTCCTCGGCCACCATACTTCCAAATTCTATATCCTCAAGGATAAGCTTCAAGCCCTATACGATGCAGGATTTCTAAAAAAGGAGAAGGTACAGAAGCAGGTGACCACAAATATGATCACTCTGAGTTTTGGGAAAGATCTCCCGGAGGTTCAAGCACCAGCGGGGGTAGTTCCAATCCCTAAGCAATGCTGAAGATAACTAATGATGACCCTCACAATCAATGAGGAAAAGGTTTAGTATCCCAAACCTTACCGTTAGGGCAAGTGATGTGGGTCCATCCGGACCTCCTCGGCGATGAACAATAGACTTCGAAGCCTTCGAAGAAGACCAAGGGTAAACCTTGCAACACCGTATCCATTATCCCAGATGAAGGCAAAACGACAGTAGTCGCCCTCACCGACTCCAATGAGGATGCTACCACCCTGGCCACCAAGACAGGGAGAGAATTCACCAAGAATTACCCTGCCAGGGCGAAGGAGTCGGCGGGACCCTCCAGGCGGCTGCCTGCAGAGACCCCTCCAAACCCCGACGGGGCTAGCTTGAGCAACCAGCCTTTCAGGTTCAATGTACTCGCACATCTAAAGAATATTCCAGCTAGAATTACCATGTATGAACTCCTGCATCTATCTAGACCTACTCGGGAAGCTCTACATGAGGCATTGGCCGACTCGGAGGTTATCGCTACGCACTTCTCGTCCACAAAGGGAAGAAGAAGCGGGGAAGGAGTGTCTACAATGCTGTTAGGCTGCCGAACAGTGGGTCCCCTGCATCACATTCACTCCGGAAGACATGCTAATCAAAAGCACTTCCCACGATCAACCCTTGTACTTCACGGGGTACATCGGTTCCTCCAGAGTAGATCAAATCCAAGTTGATCCTGGATCCGTGCTAAGCATCATCCCCTTGAAACTTATGCAATACCTGAGGGTCCCCCAAAAGTGTCTTTCCATGACAACCACGACTATCTTTGGGTTTAACGCCATTGGGACGAGGCCGCTTGGCAAGATCCGCCTAAAGTGCCGTATAGGCGACATGAAGACGGAGGTCACCTGCTACGTCATCGACGCTGAGCCTTCCTACAACATGCTGCTGGGATGGTCATGGATTTACAACAACTGCATTGTCACATCCACATTGCACTAATGCCTAAAATACGTGGATGACTACGATCGGGTGAAGACAGTAGTTGCCGACAAACAACCCTTCAAAAGAGTCGAGAACTACATCACGGATTCCCTGCTTTACCAAGATTCTGATGAACCACTAATCGAGGAACTCGAGAGAGGTAATGAAGCAGATAGTGAACCCGAATATGGTGATAACCTTGTCCTGAATGATTTCGAATCGATTGTAATCGGCTACGAAAGCCATAATGCAACCGACGCTATCCAGGCGAATGGGATTATCTTGAATGAGAAGTTCGACTTTGCTTACTTTTCATCTTGCCCGACATCCAAGGATGACCTGCCTAACAACCCAATGTCGAGGCTCCACAGTGACCCTTCTCTACACTTTTCCGTACACTCATCATATGTCACGAAGAGACAAACGATTGAGTCTTCGCAAGCTGTATTCGTCGTACCCACCCAAGATAGTTATCAAAAGAATATTATCTTTGGGAGAATTGATCACCCCTTATGTACGTTGTGGGACGAGTCTGAAGAGGAGGAGTCTGCGCACTAGTTTTCGCAATACAGTCAAGTGGCAAAACGCATGATGAAGGACATAAGTTACGACCTCACTCGCCAAGAAGGCCTGAACTATGGCAGAGGACAGAAGATGGTCGTCTGACCCGCCTACGTACCTAAAGGAAAACCCTCGAACTACTTCACTAAGACTCAAAGAGGCTTAGGTTACATTTCTCCCTCATCGGAATTGTTTTGCAATTTTAGAGAGGACTCCGATGATACCGGCTCCGAGGATCGATCATAGACATCCTCATCATGGGACTTAGACATCAGCGTGTGAGACTTGTTCAACAACCTCACAGTCAACATGGCTGCGACTGATCCTACCAAAATGGCAGAGGATGGACAAGTCCCACTTTATGATAAGACATGGGACCACCACGTTAATGCTCAGTGGAGTAGTCGCTTCGAGCAGCGTGAACCGCCCACCGAGGACGAAATCCTCCAGGTAAACATGGGCGATGAGACCAACCCCAAGCTCATATTTGTTAGCAGTAGTCTACCTCCCTAGGAGAAGGAAGACCTCATAGCCCTCATACGGGAATATATTGATGTCTTCGTATGGAATTACGAGGACATGCCCGGCCTTGATCCGCAGATCGCCATGTATCACCTCAACATCGGCTTGGACGCCAAACCTGTCAAATAACAGTAGAGACGGTTTCATCCACAAATTATGGAGGCAATCGAGGCCGAAGTGAAGAAGCTGATCAAATCCAGCTTCATCAGAGAGGAACAGCACCCCAACTGGGTAGCCAATATTGTTCCGATCCTGAAGAAGAATGGTAATATCCGCATCTGCATTGACTTCAGAAACCTTAATGCCACTTGCCCAAAGGACGAATTACCTCTTCCCATCACGGACGTCATCATCGATAACACGTGCAGATTTGAGAGGATGTTCTTTATGGATGGGTTTTCAGGGTATAATCAAATCAAGATGCACCCTCATGACGAAAAACACACTTCATTCAGGACTCCAATGGGGGTGTACTGCTACACGGTCATACCTTTCAGACTTAAAAACGCCGGTGCAACCTATCAACGTGCTATGAGCATGATTTTTCGAGACTATCTGCGAAAGACAGTCGAATGCTATGTAGACGACCTGGTCGTGAAAAGTCGCAACAATGATGACCATCTCCAAGACCTAAGAATGATGTTCGAACTCATGCAATCTCATCAACTCAAGATGAATCCTACAAAGTCATTCTTAGGGATGTCCTGTGGTAAATTCCTTAGATTCGTAGTCATAACAAAGGGAATTTGAATCGACCCGGATAAGGTACGAACTATCCAAAAGCTTCAGCCGCCCCGAAATCTCAAGGAATTAAGGGGTCTCCAGGGACGATTGGCTTACATCCGGAGGTTCATTTCAAATCTTTCGGGCAAATGTCAACCCTTCTCCAAACTGATGAAGAAGGGTATCTCCTTCGTATGGGACGAGCCCTGCCAGTGGGCCTTTGAAGATATCAAAGCTTACCTCTCGAGCCCACCCGTCCTGACGGCTCCGATCTCAGGAAAACCATTCCTTATCTACATACGAGCCATGGAGCACACTCTGGGCGCTCTCTTAGCATAAAATGATGATGACGGTCATGAGCAGGGCATCTACTACCTGAGTAGAACTCTACAGGACGCCGAGCGGCGGTACCCTATGGTCGAAAAGGAGTGTTTAGCCTTGGTATTTGCCATCCAAAAGATGCGACATTACCTAGTTGGCCAAACCATCCATGTCATTTCCCAGATGAACCCCATCCGAGTCTTCATGACATAGCCCACGGCCTTAAACTGGCGCTTGGCCAGATGGGCATTCCTACTATCTCAGTACGACATTCACTTTATGCCGTAGAAATCAGTCAAAGGGCAGGCCATCTGTGATCTCATGGCCAGTCAACCGCTGGGGGTGAAGACTAACCTGTTTGAAGATTTGCCGGATGAACCCTCCAAAGTCAACATGACCTCCCCAGCGGAAGTTTGGAAGATGTTCTTCGATGGTGTGTCTCGCGTCGGCACGAGCGGATCTATTGTTGTAGGAGTGGGGGTGGTCCTCACTTCCCCGCATAACCACGTATTACCCCGAGCCTTTTCTTTAATAGAGCCCTGTACCAACAATGTAACTGAGTATAATGCGCTACTCATTGGGCTCGAGCTGGCAAGAGAGTTAGAAATAAAGCATCTCGAGGCTTACGGTGACTCTCAGCTTATCGTTAGGCAGATGATGGAAGAATACGAGGTTAGGAATGACGATCTAATCCCGCTTCATAAAGCGGCTACGAAACTAGTTGAGTCATTCAAAAACTTCTATATTGAGCATGTGCTTTGTTCTAAGAACACGCATGCGGACGCCCTCGCATCCTTATCGACTAACTTGGCTCAACCGTTAGAGACGACTCAATGTGTCACTATAGCGAGTCGACGACTCTTTCGACCAGAGGATGTTCTAGAAGCGAACGCTACTCATCAGGCTCCTGACCAACTTGACCCGAAAGACTAACGTCTCCTGATCATCGATTATATTTTATACGGCATGTTACCTGAAGATGCTAAGGAGCGAGAGTCTGTCCGCCGACGTGCCTCAAGGTTCGACTACGACTCGGCCACGGAGATGTTGTATCATAGGTCATATGAGGGCTTGTTACTCCAATGTCTTTCAAAGACAGAAGCACAAGAAGCGCTACGTGAAGCCCATGATGGCACCTGTGGAGCTCACCAGCCCGGACCTAAGCTGTGGGATCGTCTGTGAAGGATAGGCTACTTTTGGCCAGGGATGGTTAGCGACACAGTTGCTTATGCCAAACGATGCCACGCATACCAAATCTATGCCAATTACATGCACCGACCTCCAGAAGACCTGCATATGACAGTAGTGTCATGGCCGTTCGAAGCATGGGGAATGGATATAGTTGGGCCGATATCCTCGCCATCAGTAAGGGGTCATCGGTTCATTCTGGCAATCACCGACTACTTCTTCAAATTGGCCGAAGCCATCCCTTTAAGAGAAGTCAAAACCAATAAGGTGATCAAGTTCATCAAACATCACGTCATATATCGATACGGCGTACCTCGATGTGTCATTCATGACAACGACACACAATTCGTTAGTCATGTGTTCACCCGGTTCTGTGACAAGTTCAAAATCTGGAACCTTTCCTCTACAATCTATAACCCTTCGGCGAACGGTTTGACCGAGGCCTTCAACAAAACAATCGTTAAGATCATAACCAAGCTGACTTCCAGTAGCAAGCGTGATTGGAATGAGAAACTTGGCGAGAGCTTATGAGCGTATCGCACAACAGTTCGCACGCCGACTGGCAACACGCCTTACTCATTGGTATATGGCTGCGAGGCTGTGTTACCATTAGAGATTCAAATTCCATCCATCCGTGTCGCCCTAGCGACATGAATGATGACCGAGGATAATCATCAACGACGTCTCGCGGAATTTGAAGCGTTGGATGAAAGGCGGCTTGAAGCCCAACAACACATTGAGTTCTACCAAGCTCGAATAGCTAAGGTCTTTGACAAGAAAGTCAAGCATCAACCCTTCAAGGAGGAAGAATTGATACTCGCCGTTTGACGACCGATGATTCTCACTTCCAAGAAGAAAGACAAATTCCATCCTAAATGGGAAAGACCGTTCGTGATAGAGATAGTTTATTCAAACGGAGCTTATCGCCTCGTCAAACCAAATGGCGATAAGATCATGATGCCTATCAACGGCAAATTCTTGAAGAAGTACTACCCTTAGTACTATCCTTTCACTCCTACCAGTGCACGAGTCTAAACTACCCCTTTTTCCCTATAACTGGTACACGAGGCTAAACTGTCCCTGCTTCATATACTCCGACATACTCGCGAGTATGAGCCACTGCTTATGGGAAACCCTTTATAAGACGCTACATATAGTGTTCTTAGGGATAACCCAGAGCCCCATTCGGTCAAACCTTTCGACAGTTAGGACCAAAGTCGATTATCAAGTTAAATCCCCACCTCTGATTGTCATTTCTCTGTCTGTCTCATTCAACTGGATAATGGATCTCTCGAATCAAGTCATGTTAATTGTTACTTCTGGCCAAAATCAACTTACCAATCCTCTCTAATAGGATGGTAAGCCTACAGAGTTGCTCACATCGCAACAAACAATCAAGTTATGTTAACTATCACCTCTGGCAATATCAGCCTACCAATCCCCTCCCATGGGATGATAGGTCCTCATAGTTGCTCCGATCGCAACAAGATTCTATCGGGTTAATGATTACCTCTGGTAGAGTAGGCTCCATCATTCTCATGAATGACACTATCCAAGTAGTAACCTACCATGCGACGCGTTGCTACTCTGGTCGGTCATCACACTCGTACATCCCTAAATGACCCGACCTATCCCGAGTGTTCTAATATTTTCTTAGAACAATCGATGGGTAGTAGCCCACCATGTGACGGCTCCTACAATAATCAGTCACCACACTCCCACGTCCCTGAGCGACTCGATTACCCTAACATCATCGTCCTTGCGAGCGATGATGTTCATTAAGGGCAGTTTACCAGGCGACATGCTCCAATTGACCTCCGAACAGCAACTCACCAAATGGTGAGTCGTTGTTGGGACCTTGATTGGGTCGCGTGCACAAGCAGCCGCTCTGCTTGGGTTAGGTTATTAACCCTTAACGTCTCATACCCGCCTGAACTGCAACGCGAGAGTCGGGGTTAACCCAACCTCACGTTTCGAACAGCCAAGGATGGAGGAGGATCCTAGCAACTAAGTCTAAGATAAGCTCCTCGAAGGCCTGTCACACTGCGGAAAATAGTGTAGCTAGCTCGACTCAAGCGACAAACAGCAAAGGCAAGTTCAAAACAAGGACTACCAAGGATTAATCAAAAAGTCCTAGGTATAGATCAACATAGAAAAGCAAAAGAAAGGCAACATGTGCAAAATGGAGAATAACCACAAGCGTAAAACACCATTATAGACAGAGTTTTAAAAAAAATGTATCAAGTAACAACGATACAAAAAGAAAAAGGAAAGAGCGTCCTAAATAAACTTCAGCAGGCTTAAGGTGGCAATCCTAGCCTTGACGTCTGCAAGCTCCGCTGCTTTCCTGGCTCGGATCTTCTCCTCCTTCCTCTGCTAGAGCCTGGTGAGAGCAGCTTCACCATCCTCCTCTTCCTGACGCAAACCCTGGAGGGCTTGCAACACTCCGGTAGCGAGGCGACAGACCCTTGCACTCTCTGCTTGCCATTTCTTCAAGTCCTCTTCTCCCCGAGGGGAATCGACTTCCAAGAAAGAGCAGGTGTCATGATAAGCATCCATCTTGGCCAGCAAGGCGCGGTGTTGTTTGCGCAGGCGTTTACGCTGAGCCTCCTTCTCCAGAATGCGCCTGGCCAAAGCTTAGCGCTCGAACAGCGCACTCATCGCCAAAGGTGTCAGTTCGGGGTTGGCGTGCACCAGCGCCTCCAGATGTTACATCAACCCCTCCAAACAATGGAGTTCTCGCTCACATTGTTGGGCGAGTTGGGGGCCGCCCACATGCCGGATCTCCTCGAGGGTCGTGGCCACGAGGGGGAGCACGTCGTAGTACTTCCCAACGCTTTGGCTAATGAGGGTAGCCATCCCGCGTAAGTCACCCTCCAGCTTTCGGAGGATATCAAGCGTCGGGGCAAGGCTCAGAGTGACCGACCACTGGGTCGGGTTAACAGCGTCAGCCGACGCCGCGTCAGCACCAGTAGCACCGGAGGAGGAAGTAACCTCCTTGCCCTTGGAAGCGTTCGGCTTGGTCTCAGGAGCCATTGTTCGGGACAACGAAGCCTCTGCAAAAATTTTCTTCAGATGAAATTTTGTGAGCGCGAGATCTACCAAGAGAGTGGTGGACACACTATATAACTGGGATCCGACGGTTGAGATTTGTCAGCTCAGATGAATCGAATGGATCAGATCTCCAGTGGCGTTTCGAGTTCGACACCCATAAAAGCCTCGGCTTCTGGGACTCTAAACCGATGGTTCGGATCAAGCGTGAAAGGTGAAGCATTCCGTCACTTTGCAATTAATGTGGGTTGACATGCCTGCATCGCCCTAGCTGGCAAGCATTTGGGTCCGTAGGCGGACACGTGGCACAGACTCGCCTATGTTTGAGTTTCACCCAAAGCACAAACTTGCATTTGCTTGAGTTTCGCCCGAAGCACAAACTCACCTATGTTTGAGTTTTTCCTGTGACACAAACTCGCCTGCGCTTGAGTTTCACTTACAGCACAAACTCGCCTGTGCTCGAGTTTCACCTATAGCACAGATTCGCCTGCGTTTGAGTTTAGCTTACGGCACAAACTCGCATGCGCTTGAGTTTCACCTGTAGCACAAACTTGCTTGTAGCACAAACTCTCCTGCGCTTAAGTTGCGCCTATGGCACAAATTCGCCTGCGACATAAACTCGCCAACAATTGAGTTTGCCTATCACATGAGTTAGGAGCTAAATAGCGATACACAATAATAAAAAAATGAAAGGAAGGTACGCACAACGTCTCAAAGAATCAAGAAGGCTCAAAGTTCATTAGCTGTTTCTAGACAATACATTCGAACAAAGTTATGACTTTATAATCAAGTGAGTCATAACATTACATCCAAGAAACAAAAGATTGAACATGACATCTTGAACCTATTCCTATTCTGTGAGTTTATTCTAAAAGTTTGAAAGATGCAAGCTCAGCTTTGATCGCGGCTATCTTCTTCACATGCGTAGCACGAGCTTCGTCCTCTGCCTCCTGCCGGACCCTTGCCTCGAAAGAAGCGTTAGCGATGACATCCTCCTGGCGCAGCATCAGGAGCATACGCCTCTCCCTTGCAAGATCACCGAGCACGGTCTCGCTCTAAATGCGTAGGCCCGTCAAAGTTGATTCCCCCTCAGCATACGAGATCACGCCTGAAAGAATTGAAGAAGTGGTAGCCTCCATGTTAGCTTGCAACAGGCATTGCCGAAGATCCAAACGACTGATAAGGGATTTTTTGTCTTCTATGTCTCACCTTCGGTACTCTCACTGCCACATTCCACGACGACGGGCTGAAGCCAAGAATAGCGTCACATCGGGCTCCAAATTTGCCTACCACAGATTCTCCAACTTTGTTAAAAGTGACTCCAGATCGAGGAGTCTCATCGAACAGCGTATGGCAAGCCTATAGTCGCTTAGACGCCAGATGCGGGCCACGTAATCTGAGAGAAACTGTTTCAAGTCCGTGAAGGTACCACGGCCCTGATCGACGAGCGAGATCACCCGCTCCACGGCTTTCTCCAATTCCTCAACCTGGACCTACGAATTAGCGGAGTCCGAAGATTTAGACTCCGGACCGCGGTTAGGTACGGGAGCTAAGGAAGAGGCATCATTCTCCATCTTCTTTGAGGCAGACGTCTTGGCTCGTAGTGCCATCCTGAACGAGAAGGGAACGATGAACACCATGACCTCTTCGACAAGAAGGGAGAGCAATATATGACGTACGGCCTAAGTACGCGC